ATGTATGCATGTATGTATGTATGTATGTATGTATGTATGTATGTATGTATGTATGTATGTATGTATGTATGTATGTATGTATGCATGCATGTATGCATGCATGTATGTGTGTGTATGTATGTATGTATGTATGTATGTATGTATGCGTGTGTGTGTTTGTTTGTCTGTATGTATGTGCCACTCCAAGAGCAGATGCACCATCTGGGGGTGTCCTTTCAGACCCAAAACAATAATCGCCTTACATCTCGAGTGCTTTTCCGTGTCGTAGCGCCGCGTTTCGGCTAACGATTTGCGTGCGCGCTTTCGGCGTAACGTATTGTTCCAGATACGAATTCCACTTGTCGACTTCTCAAGAAAGGAAACCCAAGTAGGCCAAGGCAGCGAAAAAAATAAGAATCGCAGCACATCCACGGAGTGAATGATGATAAGTGGGGCGAAGCGCTGGAGGGTTATTTATACATATAGTGTATATATTTATGCAAGAAATTCTACAATTCGTAAGTGGTAGCTATACGTCGCTTCCGTTTCTCCTTCATTATAGTGGCTTTGGTCGGTGCAGTGGTGGATCGGTGATGGGGCATAGTGGGATGTTTGCAAGGATGAAGTAGCTTACAAAGGTGGAACCATAGGTGGTCACGTACAAACAAAGAATGGACACTGTGAGACAATCTATAGTTCTTTAACGCGCGCCTGGATACAAGTACACGGCCATCTTGCATTTCATATTGGCTACTTCTCAACACTATTTGCTTCACGGTCGGTGAATTGGGGGATCGGTGATGGGGCGCAGTGGGATATTTGCAAGGACAAAGTAGTGGGCAGCTGGCAAAGGTAGAACTATAGGCGGTCACGTACGTACGCACACACACACATACATACATACATACATACATACATACATACATACATACATACATACATACATACATACATGCATACATACGTACGTACGTACGTACATACATACATACATACATATATACATGTACATACATACATACATACATACATACATACATACATACATACATACATACATACATACATACATACATACATACATACATACATACATACAAGGGATGCCCCGCCGCGGTGGTCTAGTGGCTAAAGTACTCGGGTACCGACCAGCAGGTCGCGGGATCGAATCCCAGCTGCGGTGGCTGCATTTCCGATGGAGGCGGAAATGTTGTAGGCCCGTGTGCTCATATTTGGGCGCAAGTTAAAGAACCCCAGGTGATCGAAATTTCCGGAACCCTCCACTACGGCGTCTCTGATAATCATATGGGGGTTTTGGGACGATAAACCCGACATATCAATCAATCAATTGCATACAAGGGATCGACCGACCCACCCCTTTGGGAGCTTCACCCCTAAAACGATGAGCGCTGAGGCGAGGACAGGGGTGAGAGAGGCGAGCGTTAAGTGTGAAACTCTGTTTGTCGAAGTGGATGGGAGGAAGGAAATGAGTAGGAGAAGTGTAGAAAAAAAGGGGAAGAAAAAAAATCGCACGCATATTTACCAAGTGAGTGCTGACGATATGGCGAAGCAGTGTGCACCGGATCGTGAATCGTGGGCTTTCATTTTGTTCTGGTTAAGATCCTTTCACTTTACGCCCCGCCGTGGTGGTCTAGTCGCTAATGTATTCGGTTGCTGACCTGCAGGTCGCAGGATCGGATCCCAGCTGTGGCGGCTGCATTTCCGATGGAGGCGGAAATGTTGGCCTGTGTACTCAGATTTGGGTGCACGTTAAAGAACTCCAGCTTGTCGAAATTTCCGGAGCCCTCCTCTACGGCGTCTCTGATAATCATATGGCGGTTTCGGGACGTTTAACTCCACATATCAATCAATCAAGATCCTTTCACTCTGTCCTTGGTAACTTTTTTGTTCTGCCATATGCTTTGATTGATGACTGGTTTAATGTCCATGTTTTTACGGTGGCCTTTTATTTTGTTTGTTCCGATGAACATCTTTTTATAAACTGTTTTGTTGTTCACAGTGGTTTAGGTTTGTACATCTTCTGTAGACACCGGGCGGTGGTTTATGGACGGAGGGACATTGTGCGGTCTGAAGGCGCTTCTCCGCTAAAGTAAATAAAACGACGCAGCATCTCTTGGCAGGGCGGGACTCGAACACGGGTACCCGCGGTGCGAAGGCGAGCGTAGTATAAGTTTTCGCCTATCCATACGCGGTGTAGCTCGTGATTGCGGCGGAGAGCGAGAGAAAGGGAAAGATAAGTGGTATGGGAACAGAGAGAGAGAGAAGCTGAAACGAAAATACAGAAATAAATAGAGAGAAAGCGAAGTATATAGCCACTTCCAAGATGCTGGGAAAGGAAAGAAAAGGTGAGAAGAGAACGTATAGAATAGCATATTTCTATATAGTATAGCAAGGGTATGAACCAAGGGTGAGAGAGGGACGCAAAAGGGGAGGACAATGCCCGCAGCTTCGTTGTATCCACTAGTCGTAGTTGCACCATTTTTTTAAAGTCGATTTCCGAGGGTTCTGCGCGTGCGTGACATACAGATACGTCAAAACCGGGGCTAGCTCTTATATACACAAAACGCTTTTCAAACCTTTTCATGCATCCTCCTGAAAAAACGAACGTTGATGGTAGCTGTCGTCGGCACTGCCCGCTTTACCACACCGCGCAAAAGCCGCTTGGCGAAGTGGCCGCTCTTGCCCTGCCGCGTGTGACGCGAACTTACAAGGGACGCGCCAAGTGGCATGCGAGGCTGGATCCGGCCTATACGCTTTCGCCTGACCGGAAACTGAATCGACGTTGCAGCAAAAGTAGGAATAAGTAGGTGCGTTCTTTCTTTCTTTTTTTCTAGCTCTGGAACAGTCAAAGGTATTCAAGGGACCCGAGCCAACCATCGTTTTCGTCAACTGCAAAAACAAAAAAACAAACAAAAAACACCATCTCCCTTTATGGGGAACTATGTGTAAATGCGAAGCAGCGGGCGCGAGCTTACGCTGGTGGCGCCGTTGTCGCTCACTGCGGCGTTACGCTGGAGAGAAATCTGGGCAGCCGCTAAGCATGCAGTGATGGACCGGTGTTTCCTACTGGAACATGCCAATCGCTGCTAATGGGGAATGGGAGACAGAAGACTCCGATTACACATAGAGACCCGCAGTCCGCTTTTATTTCGCAGAATAATTGCATGAAACCCTATGGCTTTTAGTTAACGTGCTCGCTGTGAATTTTTATTGTTCAACAACGCAGAGGAGAAGCCTCCCACCGACATTATGATATCTTGGAGGTCAAGATCTACTGGGGTGGCCAGGGAAGGATTGTGCAGCGCGAGCATTCGGTTTTTCTAAACTCGCTAGCAGACGCTGCCTGTGTCCGCGTTGCGAGGCGAGAGAGGGGCGAACGTAGAATATCAAAGAGGGGGAGGGGACGCGCATGCGCGATTGGGGTGCAAACGCCGCAACGAGGGTTGCCTAGAGAAAAGAGAGGGGGAGCGAGCGTATGCTAGCCTTTTTGAAACCACCAATCATTTTTTAAATAAGCTTTTAAACTTTCAACTACGCATTCCTTGCGCACGTTTCATAAGTTTGAAGGAAAAACAAACAAAACAAACAGTGGCAAGCAGCGCTGTCCAGTTAGAGCTGAAAGAACCACTGCCGCGATGTCGAATCGAATAGTGTTAATGATGGTGACTGGGCGGCGCAGCACACCAGTGGTCTAAGTGGGTGATGCGGACTGATCGCGCACAAATCGTGCACATGTCGCGAAGCGTTCATGGTGAGACTGAAAGCTCTAAGCGAAACTAAAGAATGAAAATGTGCTGTATTCGTTCATCTAGTGTTCTGACTCAAGCCGCTTGCCATACTGTAACCGTCATGTACCCTTCACCTCTGCTCCCGGTGCCACCTTCTGACACCGGACATTCACAAAGAAAATCTTCGGCGCACCACGCGAGCTTGCATACCTCCGTGAGGTCATGGCCTCCCGAGTGGACTTACTCGTGAAGACGAAGGAATCACTCCGAGGGGTTCACGTGAGCGAATTTGTGACGTCTTCAGTGCGTGCTAAGTGGGGCTGCACCGACACAACCTCAAGCTGACCCATTCGCCCAGGCCTGAAACTTTTTATGGATATGCCTTGGGCTTCACGCGGCTCGTCGACGCCATCTGCGGCGTGCGGGACTTCAGAACACCCAGGCTGCCTGACTTGCAGCGACAGATTTACGGTCTGGACCACAGGTCCCTCCATGGAGGAAATGACGCAACACAATTTTTTGTAATATGTATTGATGCTGTAGGGCAGACTTACTCAGTGGAAAAAAAAAAAACGCGGCTTTTACTGTGTGGTTTCGAATGATGCGTCCCCTTTAGGAGCTTGCACGGCAAGCTTCTTATGTTCACGCCTTGTCCGGCGGCTGCCGGCGTGTACACCAGTGTTCAGTGTACTCTGGTCGCAGCTCAAGGTCGCCGGTCTGATCGCCTCTCTGATGATTCTAAACAATGCTCACTAGATGGCCCGCCGCCACCCAAGGCGTCGTCGGTTTTCGGTGGCCCGCGCGCTCGCCTCTTTCGTGCTCTTCGCTTCGTAGGCATGACCTCATGTGACAAGTTCCTACAATGAATGTTACGCACGGTGTTGGTGTCTTCCGAAACCCCCTCACCTGCCAGCTCTCAACCACGTTGAAGAACGCCTGATAGCTTAATGTCTGCCATTGATGAGCGTTATGCATTTGACTCACGGCAGCGGCCAGTATGGCATAATGGGGCAGATGGTTAACGTGCCGACCGACGTGGAACGTGCCGGACAACTTGCCCGACAAGACACCATGCACCGGCTCGTTTAAAAGCCTTCCGTACATAAATGGTCTGGCCAAGAAACGCCCCGGACACCTCCGAACAAGTTACTCTAACATCATTCAATTTGTGGATGTGGTGGTGGGGTTTTTTTTTGTTTTGTTTTGGTGAACGTTGTGCGGAGGAGATCGGACCGTCTTAACAGAAACAGAGAATGGAGGCACGGCACTCACCAGGTCTGATGCAGTCGATTTCCTCTCTCTCGCTTTTCGTTTTGTTATTGGACTTTGCTGCCGCTTCCCCGGTTGTCGTTGTAGCGTTCTTAGAAGCATTCCTACTTGGCCCAGTCTCGTTTCCCTGAGCAGGTTTCCGTTCTTCGCTTCCCTTTTCGCCGCCTTCCTCAGGCTTTTCGTTTCCTTGGCTTGGCTTGGCATCCTCTTTCGGTCGTTGCCCCGTAGACTTTGAATTCGGCTCTTTTTCCCCTTCGGACGACGATTCGCCCGTCTCACCTGGTGCCGGTTTCACGGCGCCCGTTTCCTCTTTTCCTGACTCAGGCTTCGACTCTTGGTCCGGCTTGGGCTTCGACTTTTGACCCGTCTGCGGCGATTCTCCCTTCGGTTTTGCTCCGGCGTTTCCCTCCTCGTCGTTGTCGTCTGGTTTTGTTGACTTCGACTCGTTACCTTCCTTTGGCTTGGTCCCGGGCTCTTTGTTCTCCTCTTTTCCCGCCTGCCCTCCGGTACTTTTTGCCGATTTTTCTGGTGCCTTGTCTTGCGTTTTGTCGTCTCGACTGGGCTCGCCTTTCGACTTTTTGTCGTCTGCAACCTCGCCCTCCCCCTGCTTATCCTTATGTGTCGCGCTTTGAACCTTGACTTTTTCTTTGCCGTCTTCCTTTTTTTTTCCCTGTTCGCCGCCTTTGTCCGCTGCTTCTTCCACCGTTCCGGGTTTTACCTTTTTCCCCTCCGACTCGCTGTATTTTGCCGCACCATCAGGTTGAGAGTCAGTCTGCTTTCCTTTGGCCCCGGACTTCGGTTTGGTCCTTGTCTTTTTGCTTTCCTTTGGCTCCGGCAGACGCCTTGGGCTTCGGTTCTTCGCCTTCCTTCGTCGTTTTACTATCTCCGGAGCTCTCTGCGTGCGGCGGGGCTCGTTTGAAAAGCGAGTGTACGTGTCTCTTGGAGGTGAAAACAGGCGCGACTTCCGATTCCTGTAGACCCGGGGCGTCGTCTCCTTCCGCCGCGGCGCTTCCGGTCGAGAGCAGACGACGGCTCGTCGCGTGGACGTTGGTCTCCGGCGTTACTGCATCGGAGAAAAAAAAAGGACAGAGTTGAACGTGCATGTACATGTGTAATGCAGAAAGAATGGCAGCATCGAAAGCCGCACTAGACCAGCTTGACAAACTTCCGCTATACCTAGAAAAGGTTCAAAAGCAGCGGCAAGTAAATCAGAAATAAAAAGCTCGATATGCTCAAATATGGCTTTATAAATAAGAACAATGGTAGCAATCTTAATCATTACATCATCAAAGCGTAAAAAGAATATAATTGTTATTATAAGAACCATACGCTACAAGATAGTATGTATAGGTATGTCACAAACTGTGGTGACCGTATTTACACGACTTTAAGTCGACTCGAATGTAGATCGACCCTCTCCCGCCTCCCCCTAAAATGTTACGGCAAAAAAAGAAAATGAAAGCGCGCAGATGCGTTTCGTGAAGAAAGTTCGTTTACGTAGTCGCCGCCTGACTGACTACAGGCTGACCGGCTTCGCACAGTTGGAGTCAACGTCCGTTCTGTCTAGCACTTTTCTATCCTGCCCTAGAAAAAAACTTGCGCTGAAATATTTTAAGTCCGAATGAATCACAAGCTATCCCCGCAGCGTGTTGTGCAAAGTCAAGATGGGAAAAAAAAAAAAAAAAACGCAGATATTGGTGCGCAAAGGTGGCTTTGTGGCACTGCTTTGCAGCAATGCAGAGAAGCTAGCTTCGCGGCAAATCAAGGCGATTACGGTAAAGAAAAATTGCGCAAATAGTTGCTAAAAGTGCGGGTTATACGCGATAAAATACGGTGTTTCCCACAGATACAGTTGTAACGCAAAGCTGATGCCATAACGATGCTGTAGCGTCCCTCAGTTCTTGCTTGTCCCGTCGCAACTAGCGCTACTTGTTTCTATTTTAATTGTTAATCGACTGCCCCCCCCCCCCCCCACCCACACACACTTTGAAATTCAAACTTAGACGAAATTGGTCGATATAGAATCGTGTTAGCATAGTACGCGGATACAAAAGGACAGATTATACACCATAACTGACATCATGTTCATATTTAAAAACAAAAACTGCACATCTACTTAGGTCATAATTTCCATTTTGAAACCAATTCACCAAGGTAAATGAACATTTTAGGAGTAGCGTTGCCCTCGTAACTAGTCAGCGTACTTCGTGAGTGATCCCGGTACTAAATAGTCAGAGGTTATGCTTGCTTGTACGGCATCTCTCCTGGGAAGTTTGTGGGTTGTAAGACGCACACAGCGAAGGGTACGTTGGAACGCCGAGTTCTCAGCGGAGAAGCACGTACAAGATTCATCGTCGTTGAGACCGTGTCTATATACGACGTACGTGTGCATGTTTTACGATTCAAGGCGTCGTCCGCTCCTTTTGCCGTGCTTTACAATGGAGAACCCGGGGGCGGCGTCTGTCTTGTTAGGAGCTACGCGATGTCGAAAGTCGCTTTTCATTCTCGAACTATTTCCTTTTTTTCTCCTTGTTTTCTCCGATTTCCTTTTCCGTCTCTCCTCTTCCAGGACTCGCCGCCGTTGCTCATCGGTTTCATCCCACATATCTCTAGCTCTCTTCATAGGTCACTTCAGCAAGCTTGGTGTTGTTCTGTTTGTGATCTCCGCAAGGCTTGTTCCACGAACCAGAAAAAAAAAAACACACGAAAATTGGGGTAGCTACACACTATACTGATAGAGTGATGAAACAGTGGAGCAGATGGACTTGCTTTCCTCCTCACCCTCACTCCCCTTTTTTACCCACCCGTCGTTATACTATTCTTTACAGGCCTTCTTGTGCTCTTTCTTTATTTTTTCTATCTCTTTTTTGTGCCTGGTTATATCTCTTTCTCTATCTGCATGCTCTGTCTTTGTATAGTTTTCTTTCTCTCTTGTGTTTCTTTCTCAGTTTCCTTTCCCCTTATCTGTAACCATTATCTCGCCTTCTATCTCTTTTTCTTCTTCGCTGCTTTCGTTCTCTCTATTCGTTCATTTATCTTTCTCTCTTTATCTCTCTGTACTGGCTGTCTCGCCATCTAAGTTACAGCCATCCCACACCGATCCAATCCGGGCACGCGTTGTGGGAGGCGAAGCGTAAGACGACGCAGATGACGAAGAGGGTGCGTGCATGTTTATGATGATGATGATAGCTTTCAGGTCACGCCACGCGACATTGCAAAACACTTCACGGATGTGCTGCAAAAATGGACACACAAAAAAGGAGATAACGTATCCCGCACGAAGGATTCTTTCGCGGGCTGACCGCCGCGTATATTACAGAAGTTGCAGACCACGCAAGAAAAGGGAAAGAAAGGCGCGACAACCCAACAGTTCTGGAAGGGCAAGCACCCCTGTTTTCCCGGGGCGAACCAGAAGTTCTTTCCGTCTGCCAGCCGCATCGATCGCCGTCTGGCCAGCAGTGCAGTAGCCTCTCGAAGAAAAGCGCGTTCGTGTACAGATAGGCATAGTGCGTGCGCGCAAAGCAGTGAAAGCGGTGTTCTTGCGAAATGTTGCAGGCATGCGGGTTGCTCTGGGGTGGGGAGATAGAACCGGCTCCCTGCCCGACTTTCGTTTTGACACGGGCTTCGTTGCGAAAGCCTAAGACTGCTCAAATATGGTAAAAGAAAGAGAGAGAGAAAAAAAAACATGGCCAACGAAGATGCTTGGGGACGTTACATCTTTTTTTTTTTTTTCGTCTGGCGTCGGGCGTATGTAGAGTCGTTAAAAACACAAGACTCGGCGTTTTAGTCTATCCGACTGGAGCCCTTAATCCGTGGCCACGTAGGACGAATAAAACGAAAAGGCGGTACGAAAGATACCTATAAGACCGAGCGTAGACTGAAACAGGTCGGTGGTTGAACATGGGTCGGGTGTACAAACAGAAAGAACAACGCTAAAAGGAGCTCGAATCCGCGGATTCGGAGCTCCTGGAGTGGCGCTGTTTATTCATGGCTTGCGCGGCGGCGTAATAAGAACTCCCGACTCATGCACACCCGCACACCTGGTGATTTAAGCAGCGGAGGAGAACGGGGTTGGCGTGGTGGTGCCGGGGTCAAGCTGGGCAAGCAAAAATATACGGTCGAGTGCCCAGGTACGATCAATATCTAATTGGATTCATTTTTCGGGGTGCTTACGCGCCCTGATTGGATGGTACATGCGCGGAACAAGGATAGTCTAGCGTATCGGTCCAGACATGTTTCAACAACAATACGTTGTTATCGTATTGCGGATGCCGTTTGCAAGGCGAACACCTCGAATGGCGCAGAGGAAAAGTGCGTGTTGTTCGGCATGCCCGTGGTGGCCCTGCGTACAGAAGGAAATGAGACGCACCGTAACGAGATTCGGTAGGGCCGGGCGATGCAGCTACCTAGCAGACGGTAATCGTTCATGTATACGGTCGTCTGCGCAACTGTACCCTTGTGTGTCTGGTAGGCCATAGTTGCAACAATAGTTGACATATAAGATCGTTTGCCTGGTGTGTGCGGTATAGTGTATAGTCGGTTACAACCTAAAAATAAATACGCGTTCCGCCCCCAGTACTGCAGCGCACCTGTCAGTCGTCTGTGGAACAGAGCAGTGATTGGCGATTTCCGTTCTAACCATGCATGAGCACCTTTTTGCTAGAAATGAAAGTACTACGCATAATATAAATTAAAAGTTTGTTGCTTTTTGTAAAAACGTTACGTTCGGCAGAGCAGTGAAGTCGGAACTTTTGATGAAATTCGCCGAGAAGTAAAATATTTCGGCCGCATACCATCGAATTGACCACGTGCCTGTACGGACAAGTTATAAGCCTCAATTACGTGAAATCTGCCCGATGTCGCGGAAATAACTGATAACAGTTCGGTGGGACATTTATGCAAATTCTGCCTGGCTGGGACGGTGACTACTTTGGGCGGAGCCCACATTTATTTTCAGGCTGTAACCGGCTATAGTTGTCATAATTGTTTGATTGATTGATTTGTGGGGTTTAACGTCCCAAAACCACTATATGATTATGAGAGACGCCGTAGTGGAGGGCTCCGGAAATTTCGACCACCTGGGATTCTTTAACGTGCGCCCAAATCTGAGCACACGGGCCTACAACATTTCCGCCTCCATCGGAAATGCAGCTGCCGCAGCCGGGAATTGAACCCGCGACCTGCGGGTCAGCAGCCGAGTACCTTAGCCACTAGACCACCGCGGCGGGGCGTAATTGTTTACATGCGAGCTCGTCTGCCTCAAGTGTCTGGTATAACATAGTTGGTAAAGTGGGTTATATATACGGTCGTCCGCATAGTGTGTCTGGTAGACTATATATAGACGCTGCATGCTGCAGTCTGCACAACCTTATCATCTGTACACTCTTATTAGCAAACTGTCGCTACTACTGCCGTCTGCACAACTGCATTGGCTGGCTGGAATGAACAGCAGGCGATCACTGTGAAAGAACCACTTGTGAGGCAGGTTATTCTTACAAGGTTTAAGCCGCGGGATCGTTGAGCTTGGGACTTCTTGACAGCGGTATATTTGGCGCCTCACTGTGTTGGTGTTGCATAAATTGGTGTTTGTTTGAAATCACTACGCTGTACATACTAGTGTATGGGTGTATGGTGTATGCTCCCCACTGCTTATTACTACTATACGAATCTACTTTTCGCTAAAGAAATGTTCACTGTGCGATTCGTAGCGCATGTGATTCGCCGGGCGTGTCGAAAAAAAAAAAAGAGAGAGAGAGCTTTACCGACGTCTAGTTTCATCTCTCGCCGACGAGCAAAGCGGGTGTAATTTGCCGGCTGGGACTTCGTTCGCGCGACTCGCAATCAACGCAGAAAGGCAAGAGTGCAACGGAATGTTTAATGAGTAAAGGAGAAAAGAAACCTCTTGAGCCGTCGCCGGGAAGACGAATTCAGGTCGCCTCGTAATGCACACGTATGAGAACAAGCCTTGTGGAAAGCTACCAGGTGAGAATGCTGTTTATTTTTTTTTGTAACCTTTCGAAACATGGGAGCAAAATTTGATCCCTGACGAAAGGGGTGGCA